CATGATCTCAAAACATTCTCAAATGTCCTTAAATTAACATCTGAAAATGAACTTCACAAAAAGTTCCATTGCAAGCTTTTATAAATCTTTGCATTTTTTTGGTTGTGTTAAATCTATAATCAAAGAGAAAAAGAGCATTACTGATGAAAGTCAAGAGTTGGTCAAAGACTAGCCTCATCCCTTGAACAAACGAATTTGTTTGTCACTCATTTGTATTACTAATAAAGTTCATTTGTAGAAATTGAGATACATGTAATATTAACTTTATAATCGACAAAATATGTGAGTAGCGTTATGTTGCAGTACATATCCGCTCTTGAATGCACTAGCCATAAAGATATATGTGTTGGAAAGACTACGGTAACCATTGAAAGTGACGCACATGGTCGATCATAACTTTATAATCGACAGAATATATATCATTTTGGAATGGCTCTTATTGTAGATGAGGAACGGCCACAACACAGGCACTATTGTCGAATTTGCAAAAAAGGTTTTGGTTGTGGTCGAGCTCTAGGGGGTCATATAAGAGCGCATGGAATCAGCGATGATAATTGTAATATGGACAGTGACGACGACGATGATCATACGAGCTATAATTTGGCTCCTAACGCTAGTAAATGCATGTATGCACTTCGTACCAATCCCAATAGACTCAAAAGCTGTCGTGTTTGCGAGAATTGTGGTATAGAGTTCTCGTCATGGAAATCATTCCTTGAACATGGGAAATGCACCTCAGACGAGGCTGACTCGGACGCTAGAGAATCGTTTCATGGATCAGACCTTGAGGAAGGTCTCCCTAGAAAAGGCTATGAACACAATTGGTCAAAGAGAAAGCGGTCCTATAGGGCCGCTAAAGTTGGCCCTAATTGCCCTTGGAGCGAGGAGGAAGACCTCGCTCATTGCCTTATTTTGCTATCAAATGGAATAGTAGAGCCTTTTTCTGTTGCCGAGACGGAGGAGTCTTGCGCCTCCGCAAGCAAAGATGAAGGGAGAAATCATCAATTGAATCATTATAACCAGAGTTACAAGATCCCTATTCAACATGAAAAGGCAAAATTAGTCACCCCTAAAGGATTATTCGAGTGCAAAGCATGCAAGAAAGTTTTTAATTCTCATCAAGCACTTGGTGGACACCGCGCCAGTCATAAAAAGGTTGCTTTGCAGCCAAACTTGATCACATTGATTTCAATGCACCATCAGACCAAGCTCATACTGTGAACACGCAAGCGGAGTTGTATCATACCGAACGTGAACATGATCACATCGGATCTTCGGTGAAAGAGAAGGCAAAAGTCCATGAGTATTCTATATGTTACCGTGTGTTTTCCTCTGGACAAGCTCTTGGAGGTCAAAAAAATGTCACTGGATCACATCAATTTGATAACAATCAAGCTGCCGTTGCAGTAAATCATTTTCCAAAGAATTCGGAAACACTTGATCTTACACTGGACCTCAACTTCCGTGCCCTGGATGCTAAGCCACAAAACAACCAAATTTCTCAAGAAGTATTTTTATTACCATGGGTCTAAATCTCTGTTTAATTAACAGCAGAACAAGAACGCCTTATCTCACCTTCTTCACCAACTCTCACACCAATTACACTCATCTTCACAAATGACTCACTCCATCTCTCGAAAAAGCTCTCTTCATCGTTCGCAAGAACCTCGACAATCTTCCTCGTTCGACCATCTTCCATTAGAGCCGAATCCGTCTGAAACAAACCCTTGTGCACCAACAAATTCTTGTAGTACTGATTATCAAACGTCGAAGATGTCTCTGGATCGTTGTTTACGACAGTCGTAGTAGGATCAATCGAAGATGAACACTTGTTCAAAAGTATTTGCGCATAGGAGTTGTCGAGAGAGGAGTCAATGAGCTCGAAATTGCCTCTTGGATCTCTTTTAAACCTACTGTTGAATGTGTTGCAATGCGCAGCTCCAATCGTGTGAGCTCCTGAGACAGCAGAAATGAAATGGAAGTGCTTGTTTAATACTCAAGAATTGTGTTTGAACATCAAGAAACATACCCGAGAGGACGACAAGATCTTGAACAGATAAGCCTTTAGAGGCAAAGATATTGATCATCTTATCAACCGTGAAATCGGTATCAATGATGTTTGGTCTGACATTTTCGGCTACTGAGACCGTCCCGTCTCTTCTCCCTGTCGGTATTGCAACTACCGGTCCACCGAGCTGTCCGAGCAATAGTATTCATAACAACAAGAAACAGAGTGTTTTTTTTTATGTAAATGATTACTTTCAAATCTTGGGGTATATATGCATGTGAATTTGATTTAAATCTTACAGCTTCTACTGCGTCTCTAGCAGCAAGAACGAGGATATCAGCGCAAGAGACAATGCCGGGACAGAAGATTTCGAGGACATTTTTAGCACTTTCTATAACAGTGAATCCTCCCAGAGACGCATTCCCGGGGTCGCTTCTCTCTGTACCGTTCCCTCGAATCAACACTGATGCATCGCAACCCTATATATGACAACAAAAACCTCATCTTGTAATCCAAGAAATAGGAAGCAATCATGTTTTTGCAAGGGAGGGAAGCAATGTAACGTAATGTACCTGAACGAAACAGTCATGGAAGATGAGACGGAGGAGCTTCCCAAGAAGTGATGGATCAGAGGTGGAAGCAGATCTAACAGTGTTCCTGACGATGACCTCTGCTCCAGGACATGAGCCGGCGTAGAAGTTGAAAGAGAGGTCAGCCACG